TATTTAACCTCCAGCTTTTTTCCATTAGTTCTAGGTGTTAAGCACAGTACACTGTGGCTCAGAAAATGTCCTTCATCTATGTGGGTACATGCATCTTCTAAAGCACTAAATCAAATAGTTTTGACAAATCATGCTCTGAACTTCTGCATGTTGCTCTCCAAGCATCGTGAAGTGTACTTTGCTGCGATAATGGATTTAAACAAAACGCTGACTTCAATTCAGAGCTTGTGGAGGACGAGGCAGCTTTTCGTGCACGTGCATACCTTGATCCTAGTTAAAAGCAACAGGCCCCAAGTATGTGCTAATTGACATAAAAGTTAAATTAAGCAAAAGGCTTCTTCTCTTCAACCTTTTTCGTCTTCTTGTTGATGCTCTTATACTTTTCGCCCTGCTGTCAAGTGAGTTTTCAGGAATGGCTGGTGAAAATTAGATTTTCAATAATTGGTCAGTGCCCAAGATGGAACTTACCACGAGACTCAAATGAGATCCTTACGCTGAATCCACCCTGTGGTTTCTAATCAAAGTGACGGCACGAATCAGTGAAATGATGCACGTTGGTGGAACCGAGTGCCGTGCCGCACAATGCTGACCCGGTCCTTACTGCAACCCGCTAATTAAAACTCAGTCAGTCCCTGCTCGGAATGAGGAGCTCAACACAACATGTTTCACTTTAATATTTTTATTTATCGCGCAACATAAAACAATATTGTGGTTTTTTTTAACCACATACACTATGTATTCACATAATACACCAAACAGCTACAAAGAGAGATAGACTGAACAAAAACACTTTTTTACATACTGCATCCTTGACATGAAAATAAAGAACCAAGAACAATTCCTACAACTCAAAAAGGAATGTAGCTGCCACTTGTGTAGGTTCATTTTCATCTTTTTGTATGCGCCAGGGTCTAAATCTTTTTCCAAATTTGGAGAGTATTCAGTAAATTAGATGATAAATTGTCAACATTGGGCCATACATAGTGAGATGCTTTTTTTTTTTTTTTTTTAGTTTTCATGAGGTTAAGAAAGAGAAAATACACAAGATTTAAGAGAAAAGGGATTGAGTGAGGATATGAAGTGCATGACTAGAGAGAGGATAAGGGCGGCAGTACACAATTACGGTATTGTTCAAATATTGTAGTATTCAGCTAACATGTACAATTACAACATACTCAAAGGAGAATTCTAATAGTTTGGTACTCATATTGTACCCAAAAAAAAGAAACCCAAATAACAGTCTTCATATAATTTGTTTCTACTTCTCATCCTAGTTTCAGTGACTTCAAGTATTACATGGAATGAACAATAACATGTAATCAGCTGTTGCCCTCAACAAAAGAGATGTACATTTGTAGCATTGTAACAAAAGACTGTTCAAGAAATCAGCACCAGGGCAGCTTCCCAAACTTCGAAACTGCTCAGATCAAAAGTAGACTTCTAGATATTCAAGAAGCTCAGAAAAATATTTGTGGTTATCACTTGTTTGATTTTTTTTTTTGTCTTTCACACAGTAAATTTTAAGGTGTAGCATCATAGCACCAGTTGTCCGACCTCCACCCGTCACATATCTCAGGACATGCTTGAAATATACTCTCGTGAGAACCATGAAGAAAATGTGTCACGTTTAGAAATTTACAATGTGATAAAATATGTTGTACACAGTATCCTCAGCACCTTTTCTTACAGAAGTGTATGTAATGTGGGCATTGTCTTGAGTCCAGAAAGTACACCAGACCCTGGCCACTGCACCAGCAGAACTTCCTGTAAGCCATGATGCACATGTCAAGATTATTAAATACCATTAAAAGCTAAGAAATAATAATCTGATCACTTCCATAGGGGCATCGGGAGCCGTGAGCATCCTTAAATATTAGCAAAGCTAGATCAGACAATATTTATGCAGACATCTAAACAAGCAGGGAGGCAGTATCTTACATGATAGTCTAACACACGTGGAAAAGATTGGCTGGCTATTCTGTAAGTCACTACAACATCACCTTAGATTCACCTCTGTGTTGTCAAAGTTACGAGAAAACTGGCAGAATTTTCAGCTCTCAGGATGAAGCCACAGCCATGAGACACAACCAAAGGTTCAAAAAAATCAACGTGGCAGCTCTGGACAGCTTGCCTCTTAATCTATTAAAAAAAGGTTTTGGAAGAGTTGTAAAGGGACTTCCTAAAAATGAACATCTGTAAAACACCAACCGGTTTAGTTGTAGGTCTTTAAAAAGACCGAACAGAAAACTAAACAAATGACGTGATGAGATTTAAATGTGCAAGTCAATAAAATGGTTTTGGTCATTTTATTTCACAAAAAGGAGGCAAATATGCACATTTCCCTACATCTCAAATAACTTTAATGTCATTTTGTTTATGGCTACTGGTTAAGGTTTGTCCTTAAACACATCACTGATAATTATACTGATATTTGTAAAGAGGTGTACAGAGTTGTCACTGAGTTTTTTGTAAAACTCTAAACTTTAGACATGCTGTAGATGTAAAGTTTGGATAAAAGAATGACAGTATGGGTGATTACTCATCTTTTGGTGAGTTTGCTTAATTGCTGGGGGGGGGGGGGGGGTACTGTCAGGTACTGTCATCAGATCAATTACAGGCCAACAAGGAGTACAGTACTTAAAAAAATCCAAACAGTAGAATAACTGAGCAAAAGTTTTTACACATGTTGGGATCACACGTTGTAAATTACTGTCTGAGACTTCATCATACCCCCCCCCCCCCCTGCTGTCCATGGTTTCATTACTATCCTCACCAGTTAAATAGTCTTACCTAAATAGTTTACTATTTACATTTTTTATCTCTCTCTTGAGAAAATAAAAAATTAAAATAAAATAAAAAACCTAAGCTTCAAGTTGTCAATAATCGGCTCTTTCGTTTCGTCATTAAAATCAAGATTAAAAGTGCTTTTATAAATTTTTTTCTTCTCTATGTACAATTTGTATTAGCTGTATAAAAACGATGAAAAAGCAATAACATCAAAGACAATCATCATAATCACAATGTCGTAATAAATAAGAGTAAAAAAAAACAAAACAAAAACAAAAGCAAGTCCAAATGAGTTGGAAATCTAGCGCGCACGGTGGACGTGCAGGATTTTCTGCCTTCAGTAGCAAGTTGTGATTGTGACCAGTGTCTCTACAGCCTGAGGTAGAGAGCTGGAGGCCCTTGGGGGAGGAAACTGACTCTTTGTCCAGGGCGTGGAGCCAAACAACTTCTCCAGAGTCCTGTCAGTCACTTGTTGTCATTGTCAACACACATTGCAAGCAAAATAAGCAACTAAACAAAGTAAAAATGAGGACGCTAGAAGTGCTGTCAAATAGTCTCTCGCTTTGGTTTGTCTCTTTCACACACTGGTGTCTTTAAAGGTCAACCTCAGTCACGGACACAAAGTGAGAGATTAGCTGATTTATATCTGCTCCCTGAAGCTACAACTCTCTACGGTTTGTCTGCTGATGTGTTACGAAGAGAAGTGACAACTGACTGTGCTTTCTTTGCCCTGGACCGTGGACTGTGTATGCCACAATGCACTGCAACAACTTCCTCTACTAGAACCACGTCCCACGTCCAACAGCAAAGCTGCAACCCCAGAACAGCCACTTTACATAGGCTGGCAACAAGGTGCCTGTGGAAGGACGAGCCTCACTCTGCTCGAAGATGACAGCACCATGCAGAGGAAGGAGAGGCTCCTTCACTGTAAATCAAGTGTAATAGGACAGCACCAGAATGTGTTAGAAGCACCGAGAGCACTGCAGCGCCAACACTTTCCTTCTGCTGTAACCCAAGATCCGCTTCCCAGATGCAGCTCCTGTCACATTTGTTCCACGATGGGACAAAGATTGGCTTTGTCTTAAGCTTCACCGAGTCCCACCTATGGTCAGCAAACAGGATGTAAGATCCCCCTCTGCTGGCCTTGGGTGCTCTACGCAGCAAAGCAAACTCTTCCCTCGTTAATGAATGGATCTCAAGTGCTTGTTGAAAAAGAAGACACTGCTGCCCTCAAGAGCTAATGCTGGGAAGTGCTGAGCCCTAATCAAAAGTTGTAGGAAGATAAAAAGAGTTCCACTTGCTCCCTGACTGTGTGAGAACTGCACACCAAAAGATACCAGAACCACAGTCTTCACCACGGGAAAAAAAAACATATTGAGCAAAGAACAGCATTTGTTAAAAGATCTCATTACACTCGTCTTTCAACAAACGCTCTTTCCCTGGAACTTAAAACGATACAAACTGTCATTCTGGTACCCTGCCACACATCTTATAACAACAAAACTGTTTACCTGCTTGCAAACACTACTTGAGTTGAACTGGAGTTAGAGCACCTAAATACTGCAACAAGTGCAATGAAGAGTAGTGAAATAAAACTGATCCGAGCCAGAGTTTGAGCACCAGTGGAGGCGGAGGAGTGCAGACAAGGAGGAGGAGCACATCACCCAACCAGAAGACGGGCTGTACTTTTAATCTGGACAACCACTTTCTTTTCTGTCTTTATGTTTTGTTCATCTATGATTGTTTTAGATTAAATCTTTTTTTTTTAACATATTTATTTTCTATTAAAAAAACTTTTGTTAGATATACAATGAAAATTGAGGCCAATGTAAAAGAAACTGGAATCATTTTAGACTGATTCTATTTTTTACACAGCCATGAAAGTTTACGATAATCCCAGTTTTCTGTCCACCTGGGTGGATGATGGCTCCTCCCGTAAATAGAGTTTTTAAACTAATAAAGAGAAAGAAATTTGAAAACAACCAAAAAAAAAAGGGTTACAGTTTCCTCAAACATGAACAAAGCAACGGTGACTCAGACTCATCAAATAAAACCAAAAACAGAAACAAAGGTCAATCACCTCATTAATAATATTAATAAAAAAACAGCAATAATAAGAAAAACAAGTGTTCATTATAATAATACCTGTAATAACAACAGTGACAGTAACAAGAGCAATCATAGTATTATTGATAATTATAGCAATTGGGATCATTAAAATTCTATAAACAAGAAAAAGAGTAATGGAGTTCGTCTCTGTGACTGAGAGACAAAGAGCACCACAGGCAGCTCAACCACCGCCTGACATGAGGTAAAACACAATGAAAATGTCTCTCCTCTGTATGAAATGTGGAGGGGGCAGGATGGAGAGACACCAGACTGTGAAACAGCAAGGAGACATTCATCCTGCTCATTGCCCTCTACAGCCCCCCACTGCACCACTCTGTTGCTTTTAGTCTTTCCGTGTCCATCATGCCTCAGACGAAGTGGCTGTAGGGCCCAGTGAGGCGAGTGAAGGCATAGGGAGACACTGTAACTAAAGAGGTGGTGTTAAACGTGGAGGATAACCGTGTCACTGGCCCGACTTTCTTGTCTTTAGATTGTCCAGGTCCTGGGCTTGAACCTGTGACTGTAGCACCCCATTTACGTTTCTTTCCGAGTGTCTTTATGTCTTCCTGGGAGAGACCGAGGAGAGCTGCTTCTTGCTGCCTTTGCAGCGCTCGCTCTGCCAGCAGCTTCATTTTAGACTCCCACAGAGCCAGCCCATGCAATGGCTGGTTAAGGTTCTTGTGCTGGTAGAATACCAGGGAGATGCGAGTGGGATGAGAGCGGTCGGGTTTTTTAAGTGGAGTGGTAGCATGTAGTTCCCGGCGAGCACATTCAATCAAGATGGAACCATGGGCTGGAGCTACTGCCACACCACCAATGGTGGAATCCAAGAAGTTGTGTTCACTATCAGACCATACCTCTTCCTCCTCTTCTTCATGATGCTTAGAGCTCTCAACATCACTCTCAGCCCGGCAGGGGTTGCAGTAGGCTTGATTTGACTGCTGTAGGGCATCAGGGAAAAGGCGACCTTCAGGAGCAGGGGAAGGGGTGCTGCCTGCCACTGAACCTCCACATGACTTCCAGGCCTTTTCTTGGAGCCCAAGGGGAGTGGAACACCGGTTCTCCCTGGTTTTGGACCACATCTTGTCGGGGCAGGCACCTGCAGGATTGCTGTGCTTTAAACCAGGACTATATGCAGCAGGACTCATGCCCCAGGCATTAGGCTGGGGGCTAGAAGCAGGGCTGACCCAGTGCCTAGGGGTGACTGGGCCAGGAGTGCCTGGACCAGGAGTGCCTGGGCCTGGAGTGAGAGAGCGTGGGGTGCCTGGGCCTGGGGTGCCTGGGCCTGGAGTCACTGAGTGGGGGGTAACTGAGCCTGAGTGAGAGGTGCCAGGCTGTGGTGTACCTGGGTGAGAGGGAACATGGCATGCGGAGCCTTGGTATAAGTTAGCCTGGAGTGCTGTGCCAATGAGAGGGGACAAAGGTGGAGAAGAAGGTAGTTGGAGTGATGGATTGGGGGAAGCTATAGTGGGATTTGAGCAAGGGAAGGATGTCCACTGCTGGGGGTAAGCCGATGACTGTCGCTGCTGAGAATGCTGGGGAAACTGCTGCTTATCCAAGTTCAAAGAAGAGACATCTAGACTTTGTCTTCGGTTTAGATGGCCATCCCAGGTGGTAGGATTAATACTTCCATTAGGCTTGTACCCTGTCCAGGCTGCAGATTGAGGGGTGGTCCTTGATGTGTTGGCACCAGTCAGACTTGGCAATGCACCTTCATAGAGTGGTACATCCATAGGCTCCTGTTTGATGAGTGGAGTGCCTCTGTTGGAGGACTCAGAGGAGACAGAAGAAGGACGGGAAGGGTTGTAGTCTGATGGCTGAGTGTAAGCACTGGTGTTGGACTGGGTTAGTTGCTCTGGGAGATTGATGGAGGACTGACACTGTCTGGCCTGAAGGTTCTGAAAGTCAGGCTTTTTGTCTATCTGAACAGGCTTGACTCCTGGTTTGGGCAAGGAACCATTTCGACCTTCATAGGTTCTCAGTTTGCGTGGGAAAAGTGCATTGGGAGGGTAGTTGTAATAGCCATAGGGCATTGTGGGCAGACTGTGGTGGTAGCCATTCACTGCATCGGCTGGAGAGGGCTGACCTGCGGGGGAATGAGCTCCCCTTGCATAGTAGGCAGGATGCTGATAAATATTTTTCAAAGGGTCAGTTGCTTGCATGGGGTATCCATCTGTTGATCCACTGAATGGCTCCATCTTGATGTTGGGCTTCACATCCTCTTTTATCATTTCTGATAGTTTAAAACAAGAGAGAGAGAGAGATTATAATTGAAATGTAACTTCACCCATTCTATTGTTGCTTTCAATTTAAATTCAGGGAAAAACAATAGTTGATTTTAAGTGGGTTATTTAAAATGGTGGTTATATTGTCATACCTGTACATCTTTTCAGCATAATTAAATTATATTTTGCATGACAGAAAAGCACAAGAAAATAACTAACCTTTGTTGGCTTGGAGTTGGGGGGAACTGGAGATACAGCGCTCAGACTTAACCACTGATTTTTCTGGGGTCTCCCCTGGCTGCTGCATGAGTTTATTTTTCTTCTTCTCTGATGCGGCCTTCTTAGCTTCGAGCCGACGTTGTCTGCAGGATTTGGCAGGCTCGGGCAGTTTGCGTACCTCACGACGGAAAGCCTGAAGAGCCTGTATGGCTCCAGTCTTAATCTTGATGCGCTGGCCCTCTTCACTACCAAACTCATCTGTTTGTGAAATTGTGTAAAGAGGCAATACATGGAGCTGCTCATCGTCAGGGATTTCCCCCACTTTTCGGTTGTCCTCCTTGGTTAAAGTGCACACCTGACAAAGCAGGACAGTATGACAATGGTTAAATGTATAAAACACTTTTCAATATGTGTTTTAGCATTAAATAATTAAGACTCATTTCATTAAGAATACCAGAAATTTTACAACAGGAGTGCCCAATATGTCAATTGTGATCTATTGGTTGATCACAAAGGTATTATGGGTAGATTGTGTGGCATTAAAAAATAGACATCGGCCTATTATCCATCATCACTATGAAATCTGTCACTTGATTGACGTACAGGGCAGCCAGTTACACGATGTGAAACAGCAGCCTTCCTGCTGCGGTTCGGTCGTTCATTTACATGACAGCGCCGCTCATTCTCTCTGAAACCGAAGGTTTCTGAATCCAGATCTGAAGCGGGAACCCCCCACGGTGGCGTGAAATACTCCGCACATGCGCACTAAAGGCAGACGTTAGTGTATTCATCTGTTTGGATGTTACTGTCATGCAGACACTGCATGTGCAATGACTGCAGCTGAGCTCTGCATCAGGGTTGCCAGATAACTTTAAAATGTCTTATTTTCCCCCTCCTTTTCTGTGCACATGTTCAACAAACATAACAAACCTCTCATCTTAGAATATCTTTACTCAGCACATAGGACAGTTTAGGTCTAAATACTGTCATTTTAAAGCCACAGTACTATAGTTCATCATTTCTTATCTGGCGACATGACTGACATGGAAACTACAGCGTTTTTGTGTAAACCCACTCATTTTTTGTTTTTTATCCCCAACAAACATTGAAAAAACACTCAAATTTCCAGAGGTTGTTCTCATGTAAACGGGGAGTTAGATCACTTTGACTTGGTCATTTTAAAAGTTGCTCGCATGCTGAAAAAGTGCGGGCACCCCTGCTTTAGAAGATGCTGAGAGATCTTACCACTGTACAGCCATTGTGGAGATTATGCTGGTCCTTATGAGCATGGGCACAGAAGTCCATGCATGCAGTGATTCCAGAGAATGGACGGCCTTCCTTTAACCCCAACCTGCAGTCTGGAGCTCGATGTTCTGCCTGGCACTGAGGAACAGGACACAAAGAACTTTAAGTCAGTTATTAATATGAATTTTTATATTATGGTAATTTGGGGACCTAATGTATATAGTTTTTTTTGCTTTAAATTTCAACACCAATGTTCTTAAGTACCAATCCTATGCAAGAAAAAAATCTATATGGAAGTTGTTGTATAATATTCACATACCTAGTTGGGTAATTTCCAATAAACATACCTGGTTGCTGTAGGCCTGTGGCGCCAGCTGCTTGTACAAAGGAGCCACCTCAGTTGCCAGATTTTGGAAATTGTCCCTGAGTTTTTCCTCCTGCCAAACACAAATATAAAATATTGGGAGCTATATCAGCGTTATTCAATAATTCAAAGATATATATATATATATATATATATATATATAAAAGTGTGTGTGTGTGTGTGCATATATATATACACACACACACATATAAAAACATAAAATCAAACAATTTTTTAGCAGTATTAGATATTAAATAAATCTGGAGGCTTTCATGTGCTGTGTACGTACGTCTTCAGGGTGATCTCCTTGTAGTCTGAACTTGCGTGGCGTTTTGCTTCGGGCGTACTTACAGCCATTAAAGTACATACTCCAGGAGCAACCAAATGAAAAGGATGCACCAGACATTTCAGGCTCTTTGCCCTGACAAGCGCAGGTACGACTACAGGGGACAGAGAAAGTGTACGGTTGGTATGTGCATCCTTCAGGCGACAGAAGTGCCAGTAATGAAATTAGAACAATAAACCTTTAGAGCAAAATTACACACAACATTGAGCATGCATCAGGATACACACAACATTGTGTTTTGTATGTCTTTGGTCACTTGTCATGCAAATACACTTTAAAAGTATATACAACTTTTCCTTATAAATTTATATAACTAAACTAAATAAACCTGTAACTTGTAAACAGACTTCTACTGGGATTTTAGTAGATGTTTCCAACGTTTTCCAAGATGTTCAATGGATTTCTTATCCACATGGAGACGCCAAAAGGAATTTTTTTTTTAAATCTTCACTTTTTTCTGTTTCTCACCAAATGTTTGTGTGTGGACAGGGTGAGCAAACACAGCAGAAAATCTGTTTATAAAAACATCCAGAGTAGTGTGGATGGGGCCTCAACCCTCACTAATGAGCCAACAAATTTTGATTTGCTGTTTCTGATTTTAAACTAAAATAAACTTAAAGCTAACGCTATTTTATGCTTACTTGTGTTTATATTAAGAATCAGAGTTTCTTTATTGTCATTCACACAACATGTGGTGCATGTGGTGGAACAAAATTGTGTAGACAGGGTCCCAGTTACAGCCAACAATAAAATGTAAAAGAAAAACTGTAATAAGATCTAAGATATGAACTAAGAAAAACATCAACTAAAAGTACACTAAGCACTAATAGCATAAAAACAATAAGCTGAACAGCAGCATGAACATGAGTCTGTGTGAGCAGAAGAGCACAAATGAACACATCAACATGAAACAGATCAGCAGCAACATGAAACAGATCAGCAGCAACATTATTTGATTTTTCACAGTGATTATTCTGGTTAGAGATTCATGAGTCTAACAGCTTCAGGGTAGAAGCTGTTCCTCAGTCTAGTGGTTCTACACTTAATGCTCCTCAACCTCCTTCCTGAGGGGAGCGGGGCAAAAAGTGTGTGTGCTGGGTGAGTGGGGTCCTTCCTGATGCAGGTGGCCCACTTCCTGCATCTGGAGGTGTAGATGTCTGTGATGGACATCACAGACATCTATCCATTATTACATTTACATCTATTAAAATTGGTGACTAGAGATAAAACACTGAGCTTCTCATGGAACAATAAACTACATAACACCTGTCTATATTTGTTTTCAGGAGGAAACCAGAGTCATTGCTACACATTTACTCACTCATCATTGAGGCCACAGCGCCGGCTGGTGGGGTTGCCATATTTAGTGAGCGTGTCTGTGACATCGCGGTACAGCTTGTCGGCCATGACTCTGGGGATGCCCTCCCAGGCCAAAATAACAACAATGATGACCGCGTTGGCACAGTGGTGGCCGGCCCGATGACGCACCAGACACAGCAGCTTTTCTTTCTCGCTGCTCCGACGGATCACCTGGCAGGACAAAGAGGTCATCCTTAAAAACAAATACATGTTAAATGAATTCATTTATTTTTAAAAACTGTAGAGTTGTTATTGTTGTAGTTGCTTTATTTGTCCAGTAGATGTCCAACACACGTTTTTTTTTCTTGATAAACCAACAGAGAAGCAGTTTATGTTCACAGCAACAGTTAAAAGTACAAAGGTCTGTAGAAAATTCTCTATAACTGCCTCATTCACTGCCTTCTCTCTGCTTCTGTCTCCAACATACTCTTGTTCCCCTCCCTCAGCGGGAGGGTTGTTTGGATTCCATAAAGTCATTAGCAGGATGTGTCAGGGCCAACAGAAGTGCAGGCCTGGCATGTGTTACAGAGGGAGACCTCCTACAGATGCATCCACCGCGGATAACAAACGGACCTGTTTGTGTCCCCTGCACCCACATTACACACAAACACACACCCTGACCACATACATCAGTGGCTGATTGGCTGTCACTGCTGCCAGGAGGTCCCAACACTCAAAACACCCTCTCCTTTTTTCAACCCTCCCATAATACAACCGGATGCCAACTGAGATGGTAACACTTTGGGAAACTCCAAAAAAGTTCAATCTGGTCCTCTGGATATTCAAAAAAACAAAACAAAGCAAAAAAAATACAGAAACGTTTCGTCTCTCATCCGAGAGACTTCCTCAGTCTGAGGTGCTGTATTCAGCTCAGTCTCTTAAATAGCACCTTCTCTAAGAGACTGAGCTGAATACAGCACCTCAGACTGAGGAAGTCTCTTGGATGAAAGACGAAATGTTTCTATATTTTTTTTTGCTTTGTTTTGTTTTTTTGAATATCCAGAGGACCAGATTGAACTTTTTTGGATTTTTCTACCTGGATTATTGAGCATGCATCAGGATACTTTGGGAAACTGTTTGAAAGATGGAGGGAATCATTTTGAAACATTTAAAGTTAGTTATCGTTTACTTTTTTAACATCATCTACATTGCAAATGTGATTTTGTATTCCTCACTTACCCATTTGGCAATAGGACAACCATGGGAGCTCTTTCCCTCTCTGCCTGTGTACACCACCTTTTCTATCCGGACAGCTTCGCCTTTCTCTCCATACCTAAACAAAAAACAGTTATTTTTTGGTGGGTTCAAAATTTTGAAGTGGTTGCTGATGTTGACAAATTATAGCACAGTGCAATAGTTAAAGCAAACAAAGCACAAGTCACTAAGTTCAATTAAACTGGTTGCTTCAGGCTGTCAGTCAGCTGAGGGTGAACCCAAGCCCACTGTCCACGAGGTCAGACGATCTGCATATCTCCTGACAAAGTCTCACAGACAGAACACTTGCAGCAGAGTAATGCTGTTGACCCAGAATGACACACTATAGTTAAAAATTACCCAAGTATCACATTGTTCTTGCGATTGCCTGAACTAAGTTCACATAGATACAATCAGCGATTAACTCAACCTGTAAACACAACATAAAGCCAGTTTGCATACAAATGACCAGGGTTTAATTTGAGCTGGATCCTGCCGGAACAGGATCCGGGAACTCTCTTATTTTGACAGGGTGTGTTCTGGTAACTGTTTTCTTGGATCCTGTAACTGTCAGGTTTACCAATAATAAAGTTATGAACATGTTTGACTGGCTTGAACAAATCAAACCTGTATAGGACATGCAATCTGAAAACAATTACATAAACACTCATTTTAAATATAATAAGCTTCCTAATATCACATCAGAGCTGTTGCTTCGCATTTCGCTTCTACTCTTAAAAACATCTCTGCCCCTAAAAGTTCAAAGTCACGGGCAATTTAATTAAAACACAAAAATATAATTAAACGTTTTGCACTACGCATAAGCTCCTGCGTTTTTGTGAACAATCTGATGTGTGAATCAATGCAGGAGTTATCTGAACTTTCACTGGATGATCTCAGCTCGTAAAGCTGTTTGTCGTGCAGTCAGAATATTTGAAGCGATGTTGGAGCGACCAGGACACATTTCTGACTTGAGCAGGAGGATTGAGAGCAAGTCTTTTCTAAGCCAGTGACAAAGCGCTAAATATGGCCAAAAACTTAGAGCAGCGCTTTCACGCTGTGAAATAAAACATCAAGTAGGTGAACACATTAATTAAACTCACTCTATCATATTAAGTATAATTGTAGCTTATATAGAGTGTCGGTTGAAAGAAATTCAAAAAAGTGAAGTTGTATTTAATTAATTGTAATTAATCCAAGGTGCTGAAGGTCTAGTGTGCTGGTGAGGGAAGGGCTTGTGATGCTGATGAAGTCTGGTGGCCTGAGCTGACGAGCCATGGTGCTGAGGCAGAATGAATCACACTGCTTACTCTCATCACATAGTATTTCTTTTTTTAGCTGTAGGTTCTGTTCATTCGCCAATGCGTTGATGAGTACAGGAATGTTCAAGTAGTTTTGCTCATTTTTCTAATTCTCCAAAGCTGCTCATGCAGTTTTTGGCATTTTTGATTGAAACCTTCTCTGGTTATTTCTATATTGATGTTCAATCTAATAGTTATTAATAGTCAATACTTTATCATCCAGTGCATCAGTCACAGGACAAGGAGCATGAAAAAATAGGCCAAAGTCTTTCTCAAGGCAAGGCTACCAGCCAGCCAAACCCTTTCCTTCTGTTTTTCAGGCTTCTAAAACAACTCTTTCTAAAAATGTCATTCAGGTATGAGAGAATGCTCCATTAGCTAAAATAAGCCTCTACACGTTGACGCTTTAGTTTAGTTTGATGCTGTTTGTTTTAACCACTGCACTCTGCAAATATCAGTTACTGAGGTCGTTGCTGCCCTAAAAGTTGTTAGAAGTCCCTGAATGACGCCATCACCTAATTGGCATAATTGACAATGTGCATGTAATTGTGATGGAGGCTGTAAGAGCGAAGAATAGACAAGGGAGAGACAAAAAACAAGTGAAAGTCACTCCAGATAAACTTTCTTCTGTTGATTCTTGTGTTTTGTGTTACAGTTCAAACCCTCTTTATCTGGACAGGCAAATGTAACCCATGAAATCCTTTTAGTCATTTTTGAGCCTAGATTTGTTTTAGACAAAGAAAGTTTTACATTTACGTGGCTCAAACAGGGGCAGCTTCCCACATGTGTGATTTATTACAGCCCGGACATGGAGGGGTGAATATCTGCTGCTCAGCTCGCAGCTGGGAGGGACGCTGAACCAGGACTGGGTCCGTTGTGCGTTCTTTGGGAGAGGCCCCACAGCGTCCAGAAGAGTAAGAACGATGCGTGCTTTCCAAAAGTCTCCAGTAAGACCAGAAATAAATAGCTAGATTTGTTGCTCTTTTTTAAAGAGATGAGTTTGAATAGTAAACAAATATAGTGACAATGTTACTAAGTGGATGTGACGACTGACTCATTCATTCAGCAGCTTCAGGAGATTGTAACACGAACGTTGTTTGGTTGAAGCAACAGTAACAAACTAAACAGATGGGGTCATACCGTATAACACTGTATTCCACACCTGTATGATGCGTTTGAGAAAGTCTAATCTTTAAGCCTGAAAAACAATCTAAGAGACTAACCTTTAGCCATTAAGTCTTGGAAAAAGTTTTATGTCCTTTTCTTCAAATTCCACCTTCTGTGCCTGATGTCGCAGCTCATGAGGTACTAACTATTGATAACTATTTGACAGAACACTTTAATCACCTAACTAGTCTTTAAATATGATGTTTGTGCATTATCTAACAAGAGTGTTTGGTTTGGAGTAAAGATAATCTAGAATTGACTTGTCTGCACCCAGCCAAATTCTAAGAATGTGTTTTGAACTTTGAGGTTTATATTTGCTATTTGTATTGGAAAATACAATATGTTCAAGTAAGTCAGAAAACAAATGTATGCCTTTGCTCCTGTTTCCGATATCTAAAGATGTACAGTTGGTCTGGTGAAATGTCTAAAGCTGTTGCATCTTTGGTCGTCAGATCACCAGAATGGGATACTGACCCTTGGCTTAAAAAGTAGGATTACAGGTTTCTGAAAGAGCAGCAGAATCCAGTGAGCTCAGCATCACGAGCTGGAGGGAAGTGTGTGTTCACAGTGCTCTGTGAGATTCACACAGACCCGGCAGAGTAAACCAGAACCCAGCAGTCGCTGTGCAACAGCTACAGGACCGTCCCTTACAGATTAAGGCTGATGGGAATAAATTTATTTTTATGTTCACACTTTTTGATGGATGAAGATGGATCCTGCAGATACGCAGGTACAGGAGAAGGATGAGGTCATGGGTTGTAGTGGGGTGCAGGACCTGTCATGTCTGGGTGTAGCTAATATCAGGTCTCTTCAACTCTGCCTGATACTTGGCATTGGAAAATGTTCATATCTGAGATTGCAGATTTAAGCTTGACCAATCGATTACCATCGAGATTAAGTGAATGTGGCTCAGAGAGCACCACCACAGGGGTGGCTTGCTGGGGTCAGAGGTGGGTCATAGGTCAGGCAGGGACTGTAGTGTCTTTACACCTTATGTCATCTTTCAGACAACAAAACATGGCCTTTGGCTCAACAGCCCCCTTAAGTCTGAGAACCAATGACCAATCCACACTCTCCGCCTTCAAACCAAATGATCAGTGTTATCTGTTAGACATGACAATGTGACAGTTCCACTATAAAGGCTGCACGGGGCTCATTACTGCTGCTAAAACTACTGATTCACTGAGATAACAAGCTGGCTACCTGCTCACAGTGAGCGTGTGACTCTGATTAGATTACAGCCCTGATGAGTGAGGCTGAGTGTCATCGTTACTCTTACAAAACAAAACCATTACACAAAATGTGCACGTTCAGCTAGTTTGAGATTGTTTAATTTGAGATTTG